GCAGTACTGTACCAGAGCTCCCCCCATTAGCAGTACTGTACCAGAGCTCCCCCCATTAGCAATACTGTACCAGAGCTCCCGCCATTACCTACACTATACCAGAACTCCCCCATTACCTATACTATACCAGAGCCCCCGTTACCTATACAATACCAGAGACCTGTACCACCCATTACCCGTGTTAGCCTACAGCCCCCCTTTACCTGTACCAGACCAGAGCTCCCCCCTCTCATTACCTGTGTGAGCCTAGAGCTTCCCCCTCCCATTACCTGTGTGAGCCTAGACACGTCCCCCTAGGCTAGAGCTCTCCCCTCCCATTACCTGTGTGAGCCCAGAGCTCTCCCCTCCCATTACCTGTGCGAGCCTAGAGCTCCCCACATTACCCATACCAGAACAGGGCTCTCCCCCATTACCTGTGTGAGCCTAGGGCACTCACCATTACCTATACCATACCAGAGCTCTCTCCCCATTCTCTATCCCCTGCCCACCCCATTACCTACTGTACCAGGCCAGATATCCTTACCCACCCGGGTACCTGTGCCAGGCCAGATATCCTACCCCCCCACCCATACCCTATCCCCTGCCCACCCCCATTACTTGCTGTGCCAGGTCATATACCCTTCCCCCCGGGTACCTGTGCCTGGCCAGATCTCCTTACCCCCCAGATACCTGTGCCTGGCCAGATCTCCTTACCCCCCGGGTACCTGTGCCTGGCCAGATCTCCTTACCCCCTGGGTACCTGTGCCTGGCCAGATCTCCTTACCCCCCGGGTACCTGTGCCTGGTCAGATCTCCTTACCCCCCCCCGGGATACCTGTGCCTGGTCAGATCTCCTTACCCCCCGGGTACCTGTGCCTGGTCAGATCTCCTTACCCCCCGGGTACCTGTGCCTGGTCAGATCTCCTTACCCCCCGGGTACCTGTGCCTGGTCAGATCTCCTTACCCCCCGGGTACCTGTGCCACGCCAGATATCCTTACCCCCTTGGGTACCTGTGCCAGGCCAGATATCCTCTCCTACTTCTCATTACCTGCTGTACCATTCCAGATATCCTCCTCACCAGTACCTGTGTTAGACCTTTATCACCCCCATTACTTGTGTCATATCAGAAGAAGGTAGTGAGGGTATGCCACTCCCACTACCTAGATCAGCGCAGAACTCTCCTCCTTTCCACTACTCATTTATACAGCTGTACCACACAGGAAGTACAGACTGTGTCATCAGACAGCTGTGTGGGTATAATATTTCTAACTAACAAATCTGTTATTCAAATATATTCAAAAACAGTGATCCTTTCACTAAGCCTTGTGTGGTGAGGGTCAGATTTTTTTCTTTAATGATACAATCTAGCACAGACTGTATACTGCCAGGGGACTGCATCTATAATGCAAAAACCTAAAGCAAATTAGGACTTCTCTATTGCCCACACAGCCGTGCAGGTCACACTGTCTTTTTGTTGTCCCTGTCATCACTTTTGGGTTCACGGAGCTTGCTAAAGTGCTTTATATGCAAAGTCTGTGTCCTCTTTTTAATATGACAAAAGTGCAGATTTCAGTAGTATTTGGCACTTTTTTTATATATATATATATATATATATATATATATATATATATATATATATATATATATATATATATATATATATATATATATAAACAAAACCAAGAGGGCTGCACTCACCTGAACATGCATACATTATAGGGTGCTGCTGGGGCCAAAATATACAAAATACAGAATCCAGCGCACTCGCTTATTCACTAAACAATGCTTTCAAAATTTTAGAGATTGTAATAGTTTTATTTAAAAACACCTCACCTAGGCAAAAAATAATGGGGGTTTAGTTACATTATATGATCATATATTGCATAAGCCTGCGACAACGTCAATGTACCCCATTCTTGGCAGGTCCTACTCTAACAGCCTAATGCTTGCCCTTATGAGATTGATCCACTTACTTGGGAAATACTTCCTTACTGGGACTCTCTGCAAGTCAAGGCTAAATAGGATCCTGGAATGAGGCACCTGTGACAGGGAGGGGTGCAAAACCAAGGAGCTGGCCTAGACTCCCAAATATAAAACCAAGAGGGCTGCACTCACCTAAACATGCATACATTATAGGGTGCTGCTGGGGCCAAAATATACAAAATACAGAATCCAGCGCACTCGCTTATTCACTAAACAATGCTTTCAAAATTTTAGAGATTGTAATAGTTTTATTTAAAAACACCTCACCTAGGCAAAAAATAATATACATTAATATACATTATTTTTTGCCTAGGTGAGGTGTTTTTAAATAAAACTATTACAATCTCTAAAATTTTGAAAGCATTGTTTAGTGAATAAGCGAGTGCGCTGGATTCTGTATTTTGTATATATATATATATATATATATATAAATTAAGCTTGTTACACTCCCTGTCTGTCAATCAGACAAGTGTTCCTTCCTGGTTTGGTTAACTCAGTGGAGCTAAATTCAAAGGGCAGCAATTGCCCAGAGCACGTCTCATTGAGCTGCATTGGGAAGTCTGTGATTGGACTGCCATAGGCTCGCAAAGACTTCATACAAGATATATGCATCTTTTGCAAACAGTTTTTAGATATAATCCCAAAGAAAATGCATAATTAAATGCATGCATGTTTTTATTGCTGGCATATCTCGGTATCATTTACACATTTTAAAAAAATTTTGGCAGTGGAGTGTCCCTTTAAGATCTAGCGCGCCAATTGTCGTTTGCTTATTCGCTCTCACGGCCGGTTTCTATTCCTTCTCACACAGAAGTATTTCTTATTTTTACACATATAATTAGTTGAGTTACCTCCTCCCTTGTGGACCTCCTGAGAAAAGCTCACTTATTATATCCAGGTCCCGAGTGCCTCCTCTACCTCCCTAGTGAGGACATGCCCTGACTACTGCGGGTTTATGCAATGCTTTCATCATGTGAAGTTCCTTACAAGGCCATCTTATACAAATCAATCTGTGAGCCAGGTGGAGATTGTTCACTAAACTGTGAAATGTACAGACATTGCAAGTTTTTACACTACATTATTTCTGTATAAACCCACATGACTTTCTCTGGTCTATTCCTAACACATTTTCGTGGAATGTCGTATTTCACTCTTATCAGCCTTTCACCATGTGTAATATAAAAAAAGACATACTTGCTGGTTACTTCCTCTTTTTTTTTTAGTGGTATACCCCTTCTCATATCTCACAGCCTATTCTCCCACGGTCGGCTTAATTAATCCCATTACATTGTCTTACTCTAAAGCTTGGGTGTTTGTCATAAAAAACATAGAAGAAATGTATGTATTTTGGCATCTTAGAAACAAAATAGGAATTGGAAATTGACATCAGTACATGTGTTCACAATTAAATGGTTTCCTCTTTTTTTTTTTGTAGAAAATGGGATTTCAGGCGATGAGTCGTCTTTGGCTGAGCATGCATTAAGAACACTTTCCTTACAAGAAACCGAAAGGTATGTGTGCAGATTGTCTCCCAGAGCACTGCATTTAAAGCCCAATTGCTCTGCTCTCAGGGCACTGAATTTGCATCCCAGGGGTTCTGCACTCAGTGCATTATATTTACATAAATGTATTTCTGTTCTGTAAAATACAAAATGTTATAATAAAGATTGTCAATAAATAAACCATTTACATTATATAAACTGTAATGTAACGTTCTGCTTCCTGTTCTGTACATTATGCAGAATAAATAAATTTTATATACATTCTTCATTATATAGCGAACGGTATTTGCATTTAGAATATATTATATACCAGATTGCAACTTTAAATATAACACCTTATTTATCTGTCTGTATTATTTGAAAAGCATTGAATTGTATTATCTTGTGCATAATAAATAGTTATTAATTACAAAAGAAAAAGATTTGAAAGCAGAATATTTGTGAACCATGCACACAATAGTATAATGTTTAAAGTGAAACTATAGTGCCCCACTCCCCTTCTGTCACTTACCTTATTCCAGCACCAATGTCCCTCGGCGCTGGTTCAAGCTCCGTCGACATCATTCGCCAAGAGGATCCTAATGTGCATGTGCGGCAATCGCAGCTCTCACATTAGGACTTTCTCCATAGAAGAGCGTTGTATAATGCTTTCCTAATGGGTTTTGTGTAACGCTGGATGTCCTCATGCAGTGTGAGGACATCCAGTGTCAGGCCACTGAAAGCCACAAGGTGGAGTTAATCCTGCAAGGTAAAGGTTTAGGGGCCTGGAACACTGCACCCAGACCACTTCAATGAGCTTAAGAGGTCTGGGTGACTATAGTGTCCCTTTAAAAAAAAAATTAGGTTTCATAAGTTTAATTTTACATTTAAAAGTTTAACTTTAGTGTGTGTATAATTATTATTTTTAATTAAATTTAGTCATCATCACATATTTCTGCCTTTTCAACATGTTCCAAACGTACTGTGTATATATACAACTTGAGTGCCTCACAATAATACTCTGCTTGTATAATCTCAGGGCTCTGGAACAGTGCTTTATACATTCATATCTACTGTCCAAACCTTCATACTGATCTGCATGTTATCCAGTGCCATGCATGAAGTTGTTACGTTGTAATGATAGAGTTTATAAATGTTTCTTCAAGGTCACCATTAAGTTCTGAAGAAGCTGCTTCTGAAGACCGTTCTTCACAATGCTCCAGTGTGGGGAAAACAGAAGACCTGAAAGAGTCCACCCTGGAAAAGGTGACCGCTATATGTTTATTGGCTCTGACTACCCTCTGTACACTTCTGCATACGGAGTCTGCAAAGTGGCACAGATACAAAGGAATTATGGGACACAGTATGTCCGCTCTACTGCTGAGTTACACAGATAGAAAGGGAGCTATGGTACACGGTCTGTCTACCCCACTGCAGAGTTGCACAGATAGAAGGGAGTTATGGTACACTGTCTGTCTACCCCACTGCAGAATAACACAGATAGACTTGTGCTAAGGGAAACCATCTGTCCACTCTACTGCAGTTTTCCAGACAGAAGCAACCTATAGGACATATTGTCTGGCCATTCTACTGCAGGACAGTTCAATTATAAGAGAATCACCAAGTCAGTCTCTCCATCTGCAGGGTCACACCGATAGAAGGGAGTTATAGGTCATGGAATCAGTTCCTGCTTTTGGTTTATAATAATCCTGAATCAATGGTACCTCTTGCTGCAGAGTGTTGCCTGATTACATGGTTTGTTCCACAACTGAAAGGTGATTCATGAAAATTCTAAATATTCTCAATATAAAAATGTGACTGTGTCGAAGCCATGCTTTGTGAGTGTGTCCCGCATGTAGCATAACTATAAATGACTGAGTACTCGTAGAGCACAAAGTGATGGAAAACTCTCTTTCTTACAGATTTTGGACACTCTCCAGTCTTTGGAAGACTCCGAGGCCCATGATGTACTTATGATCCACTCAGAACATTCGGGTGTTGTGGATGTTGTCAAAGTGGAAAAGAATGCGAATCATCACGATGATGGACGAGGTGATGTAAACAATGATGGGCACAGGTTGTAGAGCATGGGATGAGATGGCAGAAATACACTTGCTGTTACTTGTAATGTTTTGATTTTTGTTTTTTGTTCCCCTTCTAGCTCCCCCACCACCATTAGCACCAGCAACCACTTGGACGAGTGCCAATCTCCGAGAGTTTAAGAATCGCATGGCAAGTGAAAAACAAGGTCAGCTGACTATTCGGCGGGGAGAGGTGGTGACTGTGCGTGTGCCAACACACCCTGATGGGAAGCGACTCTGCTGGGAATTTGCCACAGACGATTATGACATTGGATTTGGGATTTACTTTGACTGGACCACTGTCACAAGCACAGCCGTGACCCTCCAGGTCAGCGAATCCAGTGATGAAGAGGATGAGGAGGAGACAGAGAGCCCATGTGAGTAACCTGTCTATTTTTAAGTTTCTTTCAGCTCCTCTACCCATTTAATAGCATGTAACCAGCTGTTTCCTTTTAGTTTGTACTCTTCACTGTGTATAATGTTGTCCTAGTCAATCAGTTACCTTGCAGACTATATATGATTCAATAGAGCATATGTTTTTAAAACTGCAATAATTAACATTGCAGGGTTAGGGGACAGGGGCATAGCAGTCAATGAGCTGAAGGGATCTGGGTGCCTACAGTGTTCCTTTAAATGTGATATTCACTTTGAATTCCTGGCTGTTCTCATTTAAGTGAATAACCCTGTAGCATCAGGAAGATCAGGCCTGGTACATGCTGAGAAATAGTATATATTGGCAAATCAGACCCTCTATAAGGATTATACTTTTCGTTTATAGTTTAGAATAAATCTGTGTGCACGGCCTGACCTCCACGAGGCAACACCCTAAAAAAAAGTACACTACCCACTCACTGGTTTGTAACCATCAGTTAAACTCCCTTGTTGTACGAAGGGTTAATGTCGTGGCTATAATTGCTGTTTTCTTGATATATTGTAACGGTGCCGTACTTTACCCATTCTATTTTGTATCCTATCTTCTTTGAAAAAAACCTTAATAAAAACAGTATGTATAAACAATTTTTTTTTTTAAATACATGTTGTGTATGCTGTAATTTCTTCACTTTTCTCTCTCTCTCTTCCCCCCCTCCCCCCTTTCTGTTTTAGGGCATAACCGTGAAGGTGATGTGGAGCGTGGCTCTGTGTACCGGCTACGCAGTCGGTATGGTGAAATAATGCAGGTGTATCGCAGAGACAGTCATCGGGAAGTGCAGGCGGGAAGCCACGAGTACCCTGGGGAAGGGATTTATTTGCTTAAATTGGACAACTCCTATTCACTTATGCGAAACAAAACGCTTTACTTACACGTCTACTACAGCAGCTGAGAGCTTTTTTTTTTTAAATTATATTATTGATTTTGACCACTGAACTCTCTAGAGCTGTGTATTTGTCTATGCTACTGTTATTGTGTGCATGTACACACTGCCTTTCTCTGTCATCTGGTAATCCAGTTTTTTTTTTCCAACTCAAACCAGTGGGCAGGTTATCAAGATGGCCCACCTTACATAATTTTAATTGGTTGACAGAGAATTTAATGCAGACATAGCTTGTGTGCTCTGCTATAATGAAATCATTTTATCCATAATTAGTAAACTTGTCATATGCCAGTATGTTGTTACTGGTTAGAAGGGCCATTGGTTGCTCTAGCACACAAGTGATTAAATCTGCTGTGGCAGTGGGTCACTAAAAGCGATTCTGGTTTATTTAGTGCTATGCTACTGTGCCCGCTGCATTTTTCACCGGATGTTTACTGCAGTAAACACTATAAAGTGGTAGGCAACCTTTGCA